TGACACGGGGCCTCGGTTTTTAAGGTCTCATCCAAAAGGCCTGCAACTTTCACTTCAAAGTGCCGGGCGCTTAATTGGTCAAGGGATAATTGATACCTATTTTTTATCGACTTAGGTCAGGCGCAGCCGTGCTTCGGACACCGACCTTCCGATCACAGAGCGAGCGCTCTACCAACTGAGCCACCGTGAGGGTCCAACAATTTTAAACCTTTCACCTAAATCTTGGATTTACCTACTTGGTTTGACCTACTTCTGAAAAACTTTAACAGTTGGTGCTAGGGCTTTCCTATTTCACATGTGTACTCTCTTTGTGACAAGACTTTCCCTTGGGTACCAATAATTTTGAACCTTTGACCTTAACCTTGACCTTGTTTTGAAAAAAAAAAAAAACTTACTTGGAGATAACTTTTCTACGGTTGGTGGAAGGCCTTTCATTTTTCACATGTATATGTCTTGTGACAAGCCCTTCCCTTGGATGCCAACAGTTCTGCCCTTTTTTACTTGACCTTAGAGATTTCCATACTTTTAAAAAAAACTTTAACCTTCGCCATTACTTTTGAATGGATGGTGCTAGGGCTTTCATATTTCGCATGTGTATTTCTTGTGACAAGACCCTAATTTTGACCCTTTGACCTTGGGGTTTAACCAACTTTTGAAAAACATTAACCTTGATCATATCATGTAATTTTTGAACGGTTAGTGCAATGGCTTTCATATTTCACATGTATATTCCTTGCGATAAGACCTTTCTTTGGGTACCAACATTTTTTATCCCTTGATTTTGAGTTGTTTTGGAAATGACTTGCATTTAAGAGACTTTAACCTCCGCCATGTGCTACTATAAGGGGGCATTAGTGTTTCACAGACACATCTTGCTATCTAAGAAGTTTAATTTTTAAAAGAAAATGTGAAAGGCATAACACACTAATGTACAGTCGAAATTTGTTATCTCGAACTCGACAGGACCAAATTAAACTTTAAGGTATCTGAAGATTCGAGATAACGAGTGTAAAAAACATTAAGAAAACATGGTTGGGACTGCCACTTCACTTCGTCATGTACCTGGTATTCGAGATATCATCATATACCTGGTATTCGAGCTATCGTCATATACCTGGTATTCGATATATCGGTGTTCGAGAAAACGAAGTTCAACTGTAATACTAAAACGTGAAATTCTTGAAATGTCAATATCTTTATGCTTCTGACGACATGTATTCCATCCATTTTCCCCTCTCAAAAGAATGTTAGACGAAAGGAACCTTATGTAATTCGCAAATCATAAACAAAATTATCCTAGTAAGCTATTGAGTAAAAGAACATGATGGTTGTATCTTAATTGGAACAAACTGATAAGGGAAAGGAAGCTAAAATAGTACCATCGATAATGACTAATTTTCTGAGTCCCTTCAAACCACAGAGTAAAAAAGATTATCTGACACGTGGGCTGTAAATGAAAGGTAATTAATGCAGTATGATTAATGATGCTACTTACAGTTTTAAACATTTATTGCTTTCCATATAAAGGCATATTCTATAGTTGATCCCGGAAAAGATTTTTGGTATCCTGCTTATAAACAACAGGTCCCTAACATGCATACGATAGTGTCAATATTGACTACTTGTTTATATTAAGCATAAAAAACGATTATAATATAATTGTTGTTGTTGAAAATATAGTTATTAAATATGATTTCCTTTGAATTCTCATTAAATCCAAGCCCAGGCACAAATGTGTCCCTCTTACATGTGGTGCCCATGTTGTGACACATGTATTCTCTGGCAGGTGAGAGTGATTACGGTGATTACCACCAGAAATTCGCCCAGCGTGTTATTACACAAAAGAAATGAGGTGGACAATGTGGCAGTATGTGATGCACGGTTTTATACCAGATTGGCTTGATCGGTATAGCAATGACTTCACATAGAGAAAATAACCAGTTCTCGTATCCGTTCGAGGGCTTCTAAGACATAAAAGGTTTACAAACACCAACTAATTAAACCACTGCTAAGATATCTGTTTCTTGCAAAAATAAGCAAAAATGTTTTTGTCACCAATGAAAACCATACTTTTTCTGTCGTTCTAATAAGATCTTACATAAATTTCTTATAATGAACAGCTATTATCGATAGGTAACAAAAACATTTTTCAATCGTTTATTAATGAATTATTAAAGATAGTTATAGTAATGCATTTCTTGATTAATTCTAAAAGATTCGTGAGATTGTCACATATCACAGTAAACATATTGTTGTTTCCTGTGTAACAGAATTTTCTTTGTATTCAATCTAATAACCACGTAATATGTTAGAAATAATTGTCCAGTTTGTTTCTTTTTTCTAATAAGAAATAAACACATTGAACACATACTAGCATGTACCAGACTCTTTCTTACATAGTCCACTAGATAGAATACATAAGACATGAAGGACTAGTTTGAAAATAAAATAAATGAAATAAGAAAAAACAAAGAATTTGAAAAATCTAAAGAAAAAAAATCCTATTATAAAACTAGAGGCATTGTGGGCATTGAGCTCACAAAATGATGTCCTTGTTCCCATAAGCGTGTAATGGCTAAATGCATTTCTTGGCAATGTGTAAATAAGATTCAGTGAAAGCTATAGTGACCTTTCTCTTATATTTCAGTTGTCATTCAAGAACTTTTAATCGGCTTTTCATTGGTATTTAAGTCACCATTTCTTAATAATTTAATAAAATTATGCATTTCTTTCAATGTCTTTATGTTATTCTTATTGTGGTAGAAATTATCACGTTGAACTGGTAATGACTAGATGATACAGAGCATCTGTTTAAATTATTTACTTGAATTTTATATGTAATTATAGACTTTGAAAAAATATGTATAAATATAATTACAGACATGTTAAAGATTTAAATTCAGCTAACAAAAACTCATAAAAATCACAATAATTCGTTGCACAAAAAATAAATTTAAAAAGGAAAATTACTTTAATGATAAAATATAAGTATGAACCAACATTTGTATCAGAATTTATTTAACTGACAAATAATTTACTTTTTTTTTTCTTTCTGTAAAATCGTTTTATCCGTGATATTATTTTCATCAGGTTACTCAATATAACAAGTTGTTAAATCAATTAACAATCAGTCAAACATGTAAAAAGTTTGAAGATATCGGTGAAATTGCTTTTAAACAAAACATATTATTTCCTTTTTTCAGCTTTATTTTACTCTTTGCATTATTCTTATGTCCACCTAATATATATATATATATATATATATATATATATATATATATATATATATATATATATATATATATATATATATATATATATATATATATATATATATATATATATATATATATATATATATATATATATATATATATATATATATATATATATATATATATATATATATATATATATATATATATATATATATATATATATTGCTGTTAGTTTTCATGTATTTTCTCGGAGTTGAAGGATAGACATTATTAATTATTTATGCCTCTTGCGGGAGTTACTTAATATTGTATATTTTGATTCTTAACTGATGAAATCAAATGATGTTTTAGATTTTAAAAATCATTTTAAAATTATTCTATTCAATGTTCTAGATGTAGAATTTACAACATTCTCTTGGGTGTAAATTTCTTTTTAAAAAGCAGGTTCCCCTCGCCGATATTTCTTATTTTCCCGATGAGAGATGTGTAATAATTAGTCTGCTTCTCAAAATCTGCGCAATTTGCATCAAATATATAAGATCTTTACAATATATTTACATCTCCATATATCCAGTAACCTAGGCGTCCCACTCTGATTTTACGCACATTTTTTCCACACCAAATTATAAGTCGCCGTGGCGTAATGGATAAGGTGACAGACACTAGAGGAACCCTGTTTGTCCCAGAGTGACTTGTCTATATGAGTGAAAAATTCTCGAATAAGACGTTAAACAACATACAATCAATCAATCAATAGACAGAGGAAGGATTTATTGACGAATACGTTGATGTTACAGGGCTCTAAACTATCTCTTTAGGAGGCGGCATTTTGCAAATTCTGTTATAATGACCTTGTTTGCAAAGAATCCATCGTTGGATAGTATTTTAAATAGTATAATTTACACCAATTTTTAATACACAGGGCTTAAGGCTGGTGTGACCAATCTACAGGGGGATGCTTACCCCTTCTGGTCCTGATCACACCTTTGGCTTTTTCTCAGGGCTTGGTGTTTTTTGACCTTTTTCAAATTTTATATTCCTTACAAGAATTGTAAGATTAATCACTGTTCGTTAAATTTCTTATTTAAGTTTAGATAATTCTTCTAAATATACATGACAAGCTTTCCATGCTTTATTGATCTGGAAAATAGCTACCTTATTCAAAGCCCACTTTGATAAAAAGATCACAAGATAAGAGATGTATAAAAACGGTAAATTATGTAAGAATTTTGCATAGTTAAAATGCTGAAATGGCGGACGCTCCTGATCCACACGAACAACATTTCGTTACCTCTCAGCACTGTGAAGATAACGTCCAATTCTTTTCTGGACCCTGCAAAATAAGGCTTTGTGTAAAATATGTGTCCCCTCATTTAAAAACTAAAGCACCAGTCCATAATATTATGTACTATCTCTAACGATTCGAGACTTCTGGAAAGTCTCATCACGATCCACAGTTAATGAGAATCATCCCTTGTGAATATCCCGCAACGCTTTGCATTAAATATGCCGATAATAATCAAATATCTGTACGTTCGCACATTTGACGCACGATGTAAAACTTTTTCATACGAAATGGACTGAGATAAAAACACTTATGCCTAACAATTTCGCCATGTATTTGACACCATATGAAGACGGCGTTTCGAAACCAGGCGCTGCAGAAATACGAAAATTCAACAGTGAAGGTGATAAATTATTTTTATCAATTTATGGAAATCTGAGAGGTAATTCCATATTTGTTTGCAACACTTGCAAAGTAGAAAAGTACACAACTGGACAAGGGAAAAGACTTTTACTAATTGAGTATAATGACCAAGGAAATCAGATGTATAGTACAACGCAAGGTATTTCTATAAATGGAAAGAAATATATTTGTGTGTTTGAGTATGATTTTCCGAACGCCATGACCCTGTGGTAACTGTGGTTGATAGGTATGGGAAATATCGCGTATCCTATTCTCATTCCTCTTGTCCAGCAGATTTCTGTTGGGATTCACATTTCAACATTATCATAGCTTCCATCATAATACACGTGATAGATTCCTTAGATATCTGGTGTCCGATGGTATTAAATGTCCGTGGAGTGTGACCATTGACAGTGAGGACATTCTATTCATTTCTGAAATGAACGAGAAGAATGTTGAATGTTAAGAATGTTGAAATATCTGTACTAATCATTTCTAAGTAGTGATAGTATATTTGGTCATAAGAAACTTCAACATGCATATTATTGTATGCATAAGTTGTAAATCAAATTTTCGTCGTATATCGTTATATAAGAGGGCTGTTAGGAAATCATTAAGTCATTCTGATTATATTATGGTGAAAATTGGTATATACTCTTAACAAACATCAACAAAATATAAAAGCAAAAATTAATTCAGAGTTATTTTATTTTTTCTGTTAGATTTCCTATTAATGTGTCGTTGGTAGAGGTATCGGGCGCAGTCTCGAAATCAGCTATTAGAATTTTGTAGCTATGTGTACTCAGTCCCGTTGACCCAGAAAATGTATGAAAATTCATAAAATTATACTTATATCATATTTTGATCTTTATCTTAAATTTATTTTGTGCAAGTTTGAAAGATTTTCGATAAAAAATACGGAAACCATTAAGATTTCTTATCAGCCTATAGAAATCCGATTCCGAAGGCAAAAATAAATTTTGACGTCAAAGTGGAACAGCAGGCATTAAATTCTGTGTGAAGCTGAGTAGAGCTGTTCAGACAAATGATATCCTAAATCAAACAACATGGAGAGGAAAAAGGACTAGGGCTTTAATTTACCGTTGATTTAAACATTTTTTTTTTCTGATAAATCATTTTATCATAGCGAAATAAAAGGATCTGGACGAGTATCAGTTATTATGGATGAATTAACGTCACCAACCCTAAAGCTGGTACCAAATAATCCACGTCCGAATGTAAGAGATGTGCGTTGACACGGATAGCAACAGCACAATTTATATATAATGATTTTGCAGAAAATTGGTTTAGTACCCCATTTTCAACAGTCGCAACTGAAATGCCGAGTGAACGGGAAGTGCAGGAATCTTCAATTTAAATAATTATAATTATTAGATGTGTATGTAATGTGTTTTCCGCAAAATTTAATTTAGATTTGATTACGTAGGTTTTCCACTCTCTAGTTAGCTCTTACCAACACTTTTTTATCATTTAAACTACAAGTGTGCAAAACATTTTGATCCATTTTAAGAATTATTTGGGAATGTTATAGGGGGCATATTTTCATGTCCCAAAACATGTTCTACATACGAACAATTTCTAAATCGAGGCAACTTATTGACTGACACGTTGATGAAACAAGAATATCAACAGTCTCGTTTGAAGTCATCATTTCACAAGTTGTCGATAAAATGACTTTGTCAGTAAATACAATCTATCATTAAGTCGAATGCTGACTGACGTTTTGCAAACTAATTGTTATGCCATTATTTACACATTTAATTGTCAACGGATTTTACCGTTTTCCCGATCATGACAAAGAGCACACGGCGGATGTCATAAAAACGTAGGTAGATATGAGGCCTTAAACAAAGGGAATAACTCTGATTTCATTGTACATCTGAATACCAATGGCGGCTCGATATTGTTGGAAAGTATTACCTATCATGAGATAAAAAGAAATATGTGACCTTCATAAAAAATAAGCAAGTGAGCCGCGGGAAAAAAAGTTGTGAATACAAGCACATAGTTTGGTTGAACTAGATAACAAGACTGTGAACATCTGATTAAAAAAAAAAAAAAAAAAAAAAAAAAAAAAAAAAAAAGAAAGCAAAACTGAAAAAAGAAAACAAACTGACAAAAAAATAGAACAGATACCATAAAGGTAGCATAAGTGATTCAGTCAAAACTGATATACATATGTAAAATGAAACGCAAAAGAAACGCTACTTCATATTTTAGGGGGAAATATTACATATAGGATATAAATTTGTATCTAGAAAGTAAGGACTTCTTCAATTTTGTAAATATCGGTAATTTAACAATTGAATGATTTTCATACCATTATCGGAAGTTAAGTTTGAGTCTGCTTAACAAATAACAGAAATTGCATGTTTAACAAAATATTTGGCAATAATGTGGGGTTTTAAGGTATTGTATCTGTTTATCATAAGTAAATCAGCAATGTTCCGAAAAATAAATTCCCCTATCTTTTCTGTAAGCGATGCAAAGGCTTCCTGAAAATGACTTAAGTAGACATTTCCATTGCTCTAGCTGGAAAATCTCAAAATAAAGGTGATGGAGAGTTGCAGATGCAAATATGACCTACATCACGCCTCAACAGTCTCTTACGTATCATTAACATGAATGACAGTCCTTAGACCGGAAGTCCAAAGGTTACTACACTGCGCTTGGCTGGAGAAAATTCGACCTCATCATCTGAAAAACAGGCATTTAAAAATGGCAAAGAATATTTCTTTCGCTCAGATCTCGAGATTGATGAACGTATTGCATCGTAGAAATCAAGCTGCAATTGTTGTGCATGGCAGATTTGCACGCTGTAATTGAATGACCGGGTGGGGGGTGTTTTAACAGTCATGTGTTACTTTCTAAAGTTAAAAGATAATCATTTAACATTTTCATCAAATCTTTGATGTTTTCAAATCAAGTTCTACCTAAGTGTATTCATTTTTGAAAATCACTAGATAAAAAATTCAAATATTTGTAGATTACTGCTTTTGCGTTTCTTTTGCGTTTCAGTATATATACAAAAAGACGATTGATCACCATGAGAACAACTAGTTTTTAATGCTACAGCAAAGAACCCTGTCCATAATTTTTGCTTTCTAACAGTAAAATATCTTAAATATCTGAATAAAGGGGGCAGTCCTTTTATTTCACTGCGTTTTAAGGTCCGCCTTCCTCTTTCTCTTATTTTTATGCTACGAAACTAAACCCTGTACAAAATTTTTGCTTTGTATTAGTAAGATATCTGAAATACAGAGGGCGGATCTTTTATTATACTGCGTTTTAAGGTCCGCCCTGCCTCATTCTCTTATTTTTATGCTTCGAAAATAAACCCCGTCCACAATTTTCGCTTTGTAATAGTAAGATATCTGAAATACAGAGGGCGGACCTTTTATCATACTGCGTTTTAAGGTCCACCTTGGGAGGGGGCTAAATCAGTTTTATAAGTGGAAAAACCTATGAATTAAACTTTTGTCGTCCGGATAACCGTGACTTGCCAATGTCCATAACTGACTAAAATAAATTATCAGCGCTTATTGAGAGATAAATATTTTTCAATTGATCTGAAATTAGACTGAAACGTTATAAGAAAGAATTAAATCCAAACCATTATGGTCTCCGACGATGTATTACATGAAAAACTCTTTACATAACGCGAAATCGAATTTTATTTAGAAATACAGTTGTGTTGTTGTGACAATTTCTTTTAAATATAAAAATGTACGTCACACCTGGTGCACAAAATGTATGCTCAAAAGAGAAAGTAGCAGAAATCCCCCCCCCCCCCCCCATGATTGGTCTCTAAATTTTATGTTTGATTATGAACACCTTTATCCTCTGTGGAAATCTTCATCCTGATAAATTGTATGTATTTATTCATTTAAAAATATGGACCCTAACCACACTGCAAATTCCGAATTCACTTCTTGTGGTAATGCACTATTATCTGCGTAGCGGAAATAAATACGTGCAATTAAATTTTAATTTTGTCTTAACTTAAGCAAAATTGTCATCTATAATCAAACAGGAATAAACACATTGGTTTTTTTTTTTTTTTTCAAAAAATTAATCCTTCTTTTCCTAAGAATAGGTACTTATTTATCATGGAGAATATAATGACTGGCTAACGGTCAAAAACTTTCCTTCATTTGCAAGTCATGTACCATGATGAAAGTTTGTGGATTCTGGGATTGCTTTAATAAGGAAACAATAAAGACGGAGTAAAGATGATTGCTCTGTGAGCTTGCATTCCACTGCAAGAAAGAGCTCTTTGTCTAAGAAAGTTGCATTTTCAGCAGATACGTGAAGGAAGGGAGTGTGTGTGTGTGGGGGGGGGGGGGGACTTTCGTTAATGAGAAAGCGGAGTTCAGTGCCGAAATGATCACTGGATAAAAAATTTATTACAGCGATAGGTATTATTTGCGTTAATAATGCAGTGTTTCTTCAGCAAATCTTGTGTATCTGCTTCCTGTGATAAGTGTAGTGGCGGCTGGAGAGGATGATTTCTTTATTAAGTTCTTCAATACGGGTCATTTGTGCAAGGAAAGGTGCAATCGAAACTGCTCCTCCAAACTGTTCCAAAAAGGAATAAACTCCAGAACATAATTATCATTTGGGAAAAATCACCAGGACTGAAAGTATTTTTGACGAACGGCCTGATTTAATTTATATGTGGTTTATTATATTATTATATTGATTAACCTCTCTCTCTCTCTCTCTCTCTCTCTCTCTCTCTCTCTCTTTGGAAAAGGGTGGGGATTATTTATTGTAAATATTTAAGTTTTCTCTGAAATTGTTCAATTACCGATCATAAAATCGTAGAATAAAACTTTTGAAACAGAGAAAAAAAATACAAACAAACAATTAAATCTGAACTGTGTAACTTTTTAAAAAGGGGATTGGGGGGAGGGGGCATAAAAAAACCTCTAGTATTAGATGAATCTGAGATGTTATAACTATACATCATGAAAAAGCACAACGAAATGTAACCAACAAGAAAAATAAATTTAGAAATAAGCTTAAAAAAGATTAAAAAGAAAGATTTAAGAAAGACACAAAACAAAATAATATCTCTCGTCGGGGGGGGGGGGGGGGAGTGTTAATATATAAACCTGGATTTTCTTCTCAAATGCTAAAATCATCTTTCATAAAAATATCAAGGTAATTAAAAAAAACTAGATTTGTAATGCCATCTGTAGTCCAAGGAGATTTTTGTATGCAGTTTTTACATCACAAGCATGGACATGTTAAAACAAAATAAACGGCACTGCTAAAATTAAGGCAACTAAATAAGGAGTAGAATTCCTGCTCTAGAGATATATTGTACAAACTATCTTTAATTTTATGTGTTTAAATCAAGATTAAAACCTTTTGCACTACCCGGACCTTTAAACGTAGGCAGACCTTTTCTTATACAGGCCGGACCTCTTATAAAAGGCGGACCTTATATGTTATCCTATTAGCCACCCCCCCCCCCCCCCCCCGACCTTTAAACGAGGCGGACCAAATATCATGCGACACAGGTCGTCAGGGGGTGCTTACTCCTCCATGGCACTGTGAACTCGAGTGTTTTTAACGTCCCTGTTTGCCCTGCTCACGATTTGTACGGTTTCAACATAGGCACTCCCCAGCTTAATTGTTAAAAAAATATATCTACTATACTATAAACATAACATGTTTATTGTATAGTAGATATATATTTTTTAACAATTAAGCTGGGGGAGTGCCTATGGGTTTCAATGGACTTTTGAGGCTTATTACAGTTGGTATCTTCATATTTGATTTAAAATATAAAACATTCAAGTACCTATGAAGACAAGAATCCTAATCAGTGATGAAAACGGTGGTAATTAATGAATAAAAGGCACAAAAGGGAGTATTTTGCATTTTTTTTTTTTGAAAATGTCCCCGATTAGATACAATGAATCAAGTACTGGTGTGTGAATATTAATGAGTGTGAAATAGGTCCCCGTTTGTGCTGTTAAAAGTGCTTGGCTTAAAATTAAAGATATTGACATATTCTCATTATATTTGTCATCAGAGTTATAGGAGGACTAATATTTTTGGTCAAAAGTCAATGAATTGATAAAAATAAAGAAGTCCCCACTTTGACAGACTTTAACCCCTGTCCCCGTTTGACACCTCTCACATGTATGTGTGTGTGTGTGTGTGAGGGGTGAGGGTAACATCCTTTATCGCTGTAGCCAGTACATTGATAAGTTTAGATATTTCACTGAAGTGTAATTAGTTTTGTTCTTGTTTTTAACGAACTTTTTTCTTATTAGCATTCATTTGATAACAAGAACTTTCACAATTAGAAGTTCTGGTACATTTACATCTGGAAGCGAGCCCAAGGAATTGGGTCTTGTGTCGAAACCGGAAGTGTTATTGAAAAGCATACGTTTATCTTATGGGTACTATCCACCACACGTATAAGATAAATATATATATATGTAATGGAACTAGTATTAAAATCTTCTGCAAATAATAAAAGTTTAAATGAATGAAATATGAAGATAACGAACAATAATCATACCCAGTGTCCAATCAAACAAATTGTGAGAATAGCAAACACGGACATCTGAAAACATAGGTGGGATCAGGTGCCATAGAGGAGTGAGCAACCCTGTCGACCGGTCATACCCACCGTGTGCTCCTTTTCATGATCAGGTTAATGGAAAAATCTGCAGACAATTCAGTTAAAAATTATGGCTTAACAATTCGTATGAAAGACGTCATTCAACGTTTGACTTAACGATATATTGCATTTTGCAAACAAGGTCATTGTATCCACCATAAAATTGCGAAATATTGGATTTAATCGAGATTGTTGATATCCTTATAAGATCAACGATTGACAGTAGCCTGCCAATAACTGCTTTGATTTGAAATTTAAAGGTGTTAACATAAAATTTGAGCTTTAGAAAAATCCAAGCCGTCCCCGTCCTCATTTTCTAGACATCACAAACATTCGTATGTCATTCGCCAGTATTGTTAAATGTTGTACATCAAGCATTCCTATAGACCCCACCGCATTGCTCCGCCAAAGATATTCTTAGTTGGTCAACACAAAATTAAGAGTTTTTACTGTACAAATCCCATTGCAATAATTAGTAAGACATATATGAAAAATATGTCTTTTACATGTATACTATAAAATTTTGATTGCTAAATAATTTTAACTTTAATCTTCATCAATTAAAATTTTTTATTGGCTGGGGAAGTTCGAACAATCATAACGTATGGTGAACAGAATACGTTGTATAAACTAAAACCAATGTTAACCCCTGTGATATCTTCCGTAAGAAATGTTAATTTTAGTAAAAAGGAAATAACATTTGCAAATTTTTTGTTTGTTAAATGATTAGGAAGTTTAATATGTAAGCATAAGGAAGTTGATTCTTCTTTTAAATGTTTCCTTGTTATGTTTTATGATTTTATGAAACAATGCAGCTTTTTATACCATCAATGAGAAAGGAAAAGGGACATGTTTATGTACATACAAAACCCCATGAAAAAATTGCATATTTTTGTTATTATATATACAGTGATTTATAATGTTAAAAAAACATGCAATAAAGCATCATTTTATCTTTAGTGGATTTTTAATCATTACTGGTTGCTATATAGCTTTCCAAATAAAGAAAAAAAGTTATTGAATAGGAATAAATAAATTTACATACACATGTATCTTACTCTAAGAAAATAAATAAAAATGTCCGAAAGAATTTGCAAAAAATTCAAATTTTAATTTTTGTCATTCGAACAATAAATGTTTAATGCTAAAGAAAGTTCTCTCTTTCTCTCTTTCTCTCTCATATTCAAGCATGGTTAATAAACTTAACATAAAAAGAAAACATTTTTTGTATTTATTGATTAAGTAAAGGGCAAGTTCTGCAGTTTTTTCTTGTCCCAGATATTTTACCTATCGATCACCTCTATATTCTTTAAGCACAGAGTTGTGTTACCTTTAGATTCTATACAGCAAATACAGCTAAATGCAGGTTTAAATGCAGATAAAAAGTTTAAAGCCTTTTAGAGAAGTAAAAAGTTTCGGCATGAGCCTCACTGAAGAGACATAATTTGTCGAAATACGCATCTGGTGCATCAAAATTGGTACCGTATAAAATTTACAGAAGATAGGCCCGATTTGCAATAAGTGTTCTAGTTTCATACAAGGAACACATTAGATAAAAATCTAATAAATGAAAAGGTCCTACAGGTTTCCAAAATTTTTGAAATGAATTCCCTTACTAATGCATAATGAATATAATTGGTCAAATTGGTATTGGTCATAAATTTTAGCATAAGACAATGTAAAAAAAAAAAAGGTAGGTTTTAAATTTTCACTTTCAATGATAAATAATGAATAATTTTTTTTTCCATATCAGGCAAATTAAATGTTTCCAGATTGCCTACGGTCTCTCGGAAAACAGTGATTTAAGCACATGATTTTGATCCCTTCTTGAAAATAATTTTAATTGAGTATAGAGATTGGAATTTTCAAGTTATTTTATATTGATAGACAAAAAATTACTTCATTCTCTACATAGTCAATTTATTTAGTAGAGTAAGGGGAAACCAAAAAGACAGTCTAAACTCATTTACTAGATAATTACCTTAACCATCGAATTGGATGAGTTGCAAATGGTGGATGTTTATCGTGTCATAACACGGACGACTGTGCAGCTATAAAAAAGAAGTATACACAACAGTCCGTGTTATATCACGATGAACGACAAAAATTCACAATTCAATTTGTTCGGAAACACTTATATTCATATTATTTATGCAATATCACTTCCTTGAATACGTATGTATACAAGTAGTATAACTCTTAAAAAGATGCACACTGCACTTGGAAAGCTACCTCGAAGGAGCAGCCATTAATGTTCAACGTGAACGTGAATTTTGTTTCTTATTTATCACAATGCACTAGTATGTTTTTGACCTCAAAATAAAAAAAGCAATGTTTAAAAATCTGACCTGCACATCTGTGTTATGGTATCATTAAAGCCTGAACTTTCAAAAAAAACTCATTATATGTTTGTATCAAATGAAAATATCTTGAAATTCAATAAATTTGGTTATAGGCTAATACACAAGAATGAATGTATTTTGTTTGGTAAATTGCCGCTGTGTGTATTTCCAACAAACGCTAGAGATATAACTTCTCAAAAAATGAATACATGAATAGAGGGGATTGATAAAAAGAAGGGTTCGTAACCTTTTCAGAAATCTCAAAAATGTTGAAGACCATGCCAACACAAATACCTGGAAATCAAACACAATCCCCAAACAAGAACACGGAAAACTTTTCTCGACTTTGTCTTCTTCTATTTACAAACATGTACAAATCTGCTTAGAGATGTGATGGATCTTAAAATCCCATCTTCTTAACTTCGCTCCAGTCTTGACAATGGAAAGGGAAGGATAATAGGGTCACTGAGTCAAATGCAAAAAGCCATTCTCTACCCTCTCTCTCCTTATTCCCCTGCTCCAGGTGTCGTAAACACGACGGAATTGGATATTACACATCTTTACAAAATTTTGATGAATTTTTGCAATGTTCAAGAACATAAGAATGGATGGGGACATGACCCTTCAGATGATGATTATTCTTTGTCATCCTGCATAGAAAGGATTCGGATTTACAGGAACAACATTATAGCACATTCAAAGGACGGACACATTGATGATTCTACATTAGAAAACATATTGAATGTTCTAAAGGATGTTGTTGTTGAACTTGAAAAAGAAATAGGCGGGGGCAATATGTATGAAAGAGGGGTGGACAATCTATATTATTGTGATCTCAATCCATCAAAAGCTAAAAGAATATACTGAAAAAATTAAAACAATGCAAGGTACGTAGTTCTAAATCAAATGTAGGAGACGGTTTTGGTTATCTTTCTTGAGTGAATGAGTGAGTTATTCTGCAGAGCCCATAAAACATGTTCTTTATTTAACTATTTTTTTTAAATAAAGTCTATTTTTTTGCACTCGGACACTGTGTTTCTTCAATGCAGTTATAGTCAGTGGCATTAGTACAGAAGTGTACACAGTTAAAAATATTTGAATACCTGCTTAGGGATAAGTTTTATAATTAAAAAAAAAAACTGTTTGGCGAGGCAAAGCTGATTATTGTTGTCATCTTTCACATTTTTCTATGTTTATTTATCCAAATAATCCTGATGCAGACTACAGCAAAACTTGATGATAAGGAGGTCATATGCACTTCTTTTACTAAATATACCTGAAAAAAATAGCTATAAAAATGTGAAAAACAAATTTTGATGTCAGTTTGTATAGATCACACTGAGAATACATATCAATATAGGGTACCTGTAAACTGCGAAACGAAATCAAAACGAAACAACGAAACGAAACCTATCGAAACGAAACGAAACCCAAACGACCCATCAATATACATTGATACAACATATTGATTTTCGAAAATTGTGTTAAAATAGTAGAAAGTACTTTTAATTACATGTCGAAATACATTATCATTAGATATTAATTTTCTCGTTTGTCCTAATTATTATTATTATTATTTTAAGATTTAAGTCATATTCATTTTAAAGACATTATTTCTGAATTTTACGCAAACGATTAAAAAAACAATGTACTAATGAAACCTGATGCAGAATTATATCAAAAGTAAGTATATTTTTCAGTTTTTTTCTTCAAAAATTTGTATAGAGTGCTCCAAGAGCGGTCCCAGAGCAGTCCCACAGCGGTCCAAGAGCAGTCCCACGGCAGTCCCAGAGCAGTCCCTTAGCGGTCTTAGAGCAGTCCCAAAGCAGTCCCGGGGACTGTTTTTGGGACTGCTTTGGTGTCAGATTGGGTCTGGTTGGTACTGTACATGAACAATATAAAATTCAGTTTAAATTTAGACTAGAATGAAAATAATTTAGGTAAGTGCTCTAACAATGAAACTTGTTTTACTACAATGAAATATATGAAGATAACGAACAGTATTCAGGCTCAAAAGTCCATCAAACAATACAAAATAGGAGTAAAGCAAACACGGACCTCCAAACATCAGAGGTGGGATCAGGTGCCATGGAGGAGTGAGCATCCCCTGCCTACTGGTCACACCCGCCGTGTGCTCCTTGTCATGATCGGGAAATAACGGAAAAATCCGTCAACAATTCAGTGTGTAAATAATGGCCTAACAATTTGTATGAAAAACGTCAGTCAGCATTTGACTCAATGATAAATTGTATTTGCTGACAAGGTCATTGTATCGACCATAGAACTTACGAAATGATGACTTCAAATGAGACAGCTGATATTCTTGTTTCATCAACTTGTTTGTCAATAATTTACCTCGTTTTAGAAATTGTACATACGTAGAGCATGCTCTTGCGTATCGAATCAACTGAGAGATATATAACTCGTATGCAGGTGATGAAGGTATATTGCTGCATAAGTAAGGGAAGTTGACGATTGAAAAGTTAAAGTCATCACGTTTATCATAAAGCTTCATTGTTAGATTACCATTAACGTCTTTTTCAAGTAAAATATCCAAATATAAAACAGATGTGTCAGACTCTGTGGTATCTTTTATCTCAAGCTCACAAGGATATATCGTATCGACATAAGAATGGAAATAGCCATTGTTAATTGACATTACGTCGTCAATATATCTAAATGTCGAGTTGAAGGCCACAGCAAGTGTTTTCTTCTTTTCATGTACATGATTTTGGACAAATTCTGCTTCATATGAATACAAAAAAGTCTGCTAATAACGGGGCGCAATTAGTACCCATGGGAATTCCAATAGATTGTTGGAAGACCTGGTCTCCAAAAACCACATAGATATTGTCAATCAGAAACTCAAGCATCTTTTAATGTCAACTTCAGAGTACTTGTGTGTACAATCAGAATGTTTTTCAACAAAATAATTTTGCAAATGACCAATAACAAGGTAAGTAAATTTACGAGTTCCATTTTTATTGAAAAAGCAGCTGTCAATGACATCAAAAAGCCTGGACTTTAATTTATCGTGGGGAATGTTTGTGCATAAAGTTGAAAAGTCGTAAGTTTTTAAGCTGTTGATTTTGGTAAAATCTTGTGATTTCAAATTTTCCAAAAGTTCCTTGGAATTTTTAAGTATCCACATCTGATTTACACCACTTCTCGAATATATTGTTGCACAGTATTCTTGAAGTTTTTTCCTTCACTACTGTTAATATCTTAGTGAGGAGTGAAGAAAGAAGCTTGGTTGAACATTTACAAGGAGTGTTTGGCTTTTTCTGTTTTCCTTTTTAATTTTTGCGGAAAGATTTTTTTCTTTACAAAAGATTGGTCGGAGGTAAACCCCTCGCAATTTTATGTTATCAAAAATTCGGGGTATATAGTTTTTGCCCTGTCCGTACGTCTGTCTGTCTGTCCGTTTTGTCTGTTTGTTGACAAAAACTTTAACCTTGCTCATAACTTTTGATTGGTTGGAGCTATGGCTTTCATATTTCATATGTGTCTTCCTTGTGACAAGTCCTTCCTTTGGGTACCAACATATTTGACCTTAGAGTTTAACCCACATCTGCAAAATTTTTCCTAACTTTAACCCTGGCCATAACCTTTGAAAAGTTGGCGCTAGGGCTTTCTTATTTCACATGTGTGTTTATCGTGACAAGACATTTCCATGGGTACAAATATTTTTGACCTTTTGACCCGCTTTTAAAAACTTTAAACTTTGCCATAAATTTAAACAATTAGAACTAGGACTTTTAAATTTCACAAGTAAATTCCTTGTAACAAGACCTTGGTTTGGATGCCAACAATTTGGACCTTTTGACCTTGATCTTGGAGTTTGACCTTCTTTTGAAAAACTTTAACCTTCGCCATAACGTTTGAACAGTAGGTGCTAGGGCTTTTATATTTTGCATGTGTATTTCTAATGATGAGGTCGTCCCCTGTGTACCATTAATTTTGACCCTTTGACATTGACCTTTGAGCTTGACCCTCTTTTACAAAGCATTAACCTTGACCATAAATTTTGAATGGTTGGTGCTTGGTCTTTTATATTTACTAGGTATATCCATTTACTTTCTTCGGGTAACAACATTTTAGATCTCTTGACCATGACCTTGGAGTTTGACTTGCATTTGAGAAACTGTGCGTTTAGGTTTAAAGCAAGAGGATTTTTCAATGGAATCTCTACTTTTATTCCATTATCAAACCCAAAGAAAGACTTGATTCACTTGAAGAATCCCAAGAGGGTTTACGCAGATCTCAAGAAGCAATGCAAGGTACGGAAACTCATAGAAATATATAGATATTTATCATCATATTCTTAGATTTTTTATTGACTTATAATTACAATGTCTCTGAGTTTAAGAATGAACTTATGTATAATATGAACATGAAACACTGTATAATATATTGATGTTGTTGATTTCTTATCATTGATATTACAGTAGAACTTGTGCTCAAACGAGGTTATATTTCGTGTTAAAGTAAGGATTAATCGATATATCGATACGCATCGATATTCATATCGAATCAAAACATTAACCTCCAGTAAGCAGGGCTCTAATTGGCGACTAATTTAGTCGCCATGGCGCCTAAGATTTTTCATTAGCGCCTAAACTTTCTCTATAAGTCGCCAAATTGGCGATCATTTCAAATTGACTTGGCGATCATCAAATTCCGGAACTATAAACATTTTCAACTTTGTTTTTTTTTGTTTTTGTTTTTGTTTTTGTTTTTTTTTTGAAAAGGCGAAAAGAAATTTAAAAATGGAGAAAATCATTTTTTACCAATGGACATGTCTTGTGTTTTCTTTGCCCTTGTTTGTTTTTTCAGTCAGCGCACGTGCACAGAGAGCTCAGGTAGACGTACCAGATAAGACAATAGATGCCCCAGGTAAATTTTGGCTCCAGAAAATCGACAATTGTGAAATGCAGTGATGTGATCAATTGTTTGCTTAAATTTTCACTCATTAGAGATATCGTCTACACATTAGTGTTAGGTCGTAATTGTACGGAGGAGTATAAAAATAATGTTAATCATATAAACAATCCTCGATATTATAATAGTTTTAAAGAACATTTCATGAGATCAAAGTTTGATATTTTATGTAATTTTTTAATGCATCGCCACTTAATAATAACATTAAATGTATGTCTTATTAGTTTTAGATCGCAATATCAAGGAAAGCAATTTAATATTCTGCATGCATTTAAATTACCCACTAACTTTCTGACATTGAATCCCTCCCTCTTTCTCTCTCAAGAGAAATGTTACACTGTACTTCCATTATATAAGAAAGAAAAATATATTTATACTAGCCTTTCCAGGATTCGAACTATTCTCAGGTAAAAGAATCTGAGCATGGAGTCCACACGCTTTACCACTAGACCAGCTCCGACACTGAAGTGTCATGTGCTATTTCATATGCACATTTTGCATTTCGGATGGATAATAATTTTTATTGGTTTTTTGTGATTTTAAAAAATATGCCTCTTAAAACAAAAATCGGAAATGGCAGTTTTGAAGAAAAATTCTGTCTCTTTATTACGGATGTCAATTTTGTCAATAATTCATCTTCGAATATTCAATGGCCCAGTTGTTCTTGAGAAGATTTTTAAAGATTTTTTACCACATATTTCAATGTAAACCTTGGATTCCCTATTGTGGGATCGCCCTACCCCCGGGGGTCATGATTTGAACAATTTAGAATCTACACTACCCCAGAATGCTTCCACATAAGTTTCAGCTTTTCTGGCCCCGTGGTTCTTGAAAAGAAGATTTTTAAAGATTTTTTACTACATACATATTTCAATGTAAAACTTGGATTCCCTATTGTGGGCCCGCCCTACCCCCGGGGGTCATGATTTGAACAATTTAGAATCTACACTACCCCAGGATGCTTCCACATATGTTTCAGCTTTTCTGGCCCAGTGGTTCTTGAGAAGAAGATTTTTTTAATGACCCCACCCTATTTTTGTCTTTTCTTGATTATCCCCCCTTGGAAGAGAGCTTTGCCCTTCATTTCCACAATTTAAAATCCCCTTCTACCAAGGATGCTTTGTACCAAGTTTGGTTAAAATTGGCCCAGCAGTTCCTGAGAAGAAGTTGAAAATGTGAAAGGTTAACAGACAGACGGACGGACGACAGACAATGGGTGATCAGAAATGCTCACTTGAGCTTTCAGTTCAGGTGAGCTAAAAACCATACTCCATATTAGTTTTTCCGATCTCCGATTTCTGGGGTATCTGGGAATACCCTTCGCATTCGTTACACCTGATTGCTTTCTGGCCACCTGCATGGAATGGACGACACGTAGCTTACATTGCCTTTGTTAACATTTTATTGCATTTTATGTATTTGTGTTTGTTTGTACTGCACTGACCTGTGCAACTGATGTCATATTTCTTTGGTTACTTTTTTTCCTGTCGTGGAAGAAGCATGCAATAGTTACTTTTGACTCTACCGGGTATTTTCAGTGGGTCTGGCACATTCTCTTGATTTAGCTATTTAGCTTGAATTAGACATATATCTTTCCTAAGCTATTCAAAATAGATATTTACACTTTTTTACAAATGCGTTTGTTTTTTTTTGTTTGTTTTTTTTTTCGTTTTTGTTTTTTTCCCACATGTAATAGACAAAAAGTCGCAAATATGTTACTATTTCTATTTGTACTATGGACTATTAAAAACAAAGATAATTAAATATTGCAGCTTTTGAACAATTTTAAGCAACAAGAGACCCAAGGGCCTTAACGGTCACCTGCGTATAATATAACACTGTAAAGGATCCATGGAAGTATAAAACAAAATTAACTGATAGACGAAGCAATGTTGCCCAAGAATTTCAAAAATCTGGTAACAATACACTTGCTTATTGTAGCGTGATAGACCCGAGTGATCTCCTTGGGATCATACTTGGTTTTCCCAGGCCTTAAAGGGATGCTAATGAATGCAAAATATACAAATACAATGAACATTTGCCTATTGTGTAAGGTATTCAATATATGTCACTTGCCTAGTGCTACAATTCAGTACGCAGAGACGTGGCTATATAACGTTGTTATTTGCCACTAATTACAACAAGTCACCCTGGCTCTAGTGATTCTTTGTTCACTTTGATAAAGTATAAAACAACTTTATCCAATCTCTTGTCAACCTTGACTTTACCTGAAAATAAATCATCCACTATTACAAAAATCACCTCAGTGTAAACATTCTGTGTACAATTACAACTTTTGCTAAATATATAAATAATCTTTATGCCAATATTTTATAGTGATATTGCTTTCCAGGCAAGAATCTGACTTTGAGCAAGCTTTGCTCATTTAAACCAAGCAGTCATTTTTATTTTGTTTCTATATATATACCATTCTTTCTTGTATTCTCATTCAATCAAATAACCTGTTTATTAAATTACATACAAGGATTTCTTGATTAACACAATCTAGCAAAGGGGAGTAACTCTCATTTGCTTCACTTATTACAATTATGTACTCTGTTTGCCTCTTAGATACACAGGAGCAAAGAAGGCACATTTACATATAATAATATTTAATACATTTACATTGATATTATTGCATTTAGTTTGTTTGCTCTAATTACTCAGAGGCAGATGAGAAGACTTTCAAAGCATTAATGCATTTTTGCTAAATAATCAATAGTGCCTTAGTAAAGCACCAGAACCCCTGACCCTGCGGCCATGAAATTCACAATTTTGGAAGAGGCACTTTTCCTCATCTTAACTGTGTACTTAGTTCATCGGCATAATACCGAGGACCAGAGGAGAAGATTTTCAAAGAATTAATGCATTTTCACTATATAATCATTAGAGCTCCGCCCTAACACCAGAACCCCTGACCCTGGGGCCATGAAATTCTCAATTTTGGAAGAGGCACTCTTCCTCATCTTAACTGTGTACTTAGGTTTTTGGCTTAATACCCATAAGCAGAGAAGATTTTTAAAGCATTAATGCATTTTTAACTATATAATCATTAGAGCCCCGCTCTAACACCAGAACCCCTGACCCAGGGGCCATGAAATTCACAATTTTAAAAGAGGCACCTTTCCTCATCATAACTATGCATATTGTTTGTTTCCTTAATATCCAGGAGCAGAGGAGAAGATTTTTAAAGAAATAATGCAATTTCACTATATATTCAACAGAGCCCCTCCCTAGCACCAGAACCCCTGATCCTGGGGCCATAAATTTCACAATTTTGGTAGAGGGCTCAATGCTTATTACAATCATGCCAACATTTTGAGTACTTGATGTCCAGAAGTAAAGAAGATTTTAAAGATTGCATTTATTTTAGTAGTTTTGGCCCCATCCCTCAGGCCCCAGAGGGTAGGGACCATGAAATTCACAAGTTTTGTTCCCCTTGAAGAATATTGTAGAAATTGGGATTTAAAGATTAACATTAACAAAACAAAAGTATTGATAATAAGTAAAGGCAAGCAAAAAAGAACAAGAGGCCCAGGGGCCACATCGATCATCTGAGCACTCTGGCTAGAAAAAAGCAGAAATCAGTTCAGTCTTGAAAAGTTTTGATATGAAAGTGGTTCGGGGGTGGGTTGATTTGAACTAACTTGAATTTATACTTCATAGGGATGCTTTTTGAATTAATATGACAAATAATGGCTTTGCTGTTCTTAAGAAGACAATTTTTATTGCTGTTATGGCCCCTCTTTTCTCCTGAGTTAAAACAAAATGATTAAAACAAAATTTGAATCTATATTACCCTAGGATGCTTCCATTTAAATATGACTAATTATGGCTTTGCTGTTCTTGAGAAGATTTTTAAATATTTTTCCTTTATATTCCTATGTAAAACTTTGATAGCCCATTGTGACCCCACCCTACCCCGGGGGTCATGATTTAAACAAACTTGCATCTACCTACCTGACGATGCTTCCATATAAATATGACCAATCATGGCTTTGCTGTTCTTAAAAAGAAGATTTTAACAAATTTTTCCTATGTATTCCTATGTAAAACTTAGATCGCTCATTGTGGCCCCACCCTATCCCTGGGGGTCATGATTTGAATAAACTTCAATCTTCACTACCTGAGGATGCTTCCATATAAAATGACCAATCATGGCTTTGCTGTTCTTGAGAAGAAGATTTTTGAAGAATTCTGCTATATAATCCTATGTAAAATTTTGATCGTCCATTGTGGCCCCACCCTACCCCTTGGGGTTATGATTTGAACAAACTTGAATCTACACTACCTGAGGATAATTCCACATGAGTTTCATCTTTCCTGGCCCAGTGGTTCTTGAGAAGATTTTTAAAAGATGCCATTAATTTTTTACTTATTTGTAATTATTTCCCCTCGGAAGAGGGCATGGCCCTTCATTTGAACAAAATTGAATCCCCTTTACCCAAGGATACTTTGTGTCTAGTTTGGTTGAAATTGGCGCAGTAGTTCTGGAGAAAAAGATGAAATTGTGAAAAGTTTACAACGACAACAACAACAACGCCGGCGACAGACAATGGACAAATTTCGATCAGAAAAGCTCACTTGAGCCTTCAGCTCAGGTGAGCTAAAACACGAATTCATGTACGGCGAAAAGATTATAGAGGTTGTTAGTGAAATTAATTATTTAGGTATTTTATTTAGCGCCTCGGAATCATTCAAAAAAGCAAAACAAATAGACAAAGCAAATAAAGCAATATTTGAAATTCTTAAGAAAGGCCGTTTACATAATCTATCAATACGGTGTCAGTTAGACTTGTTTGATAAAATAGTTCAGCCTATATTGTTGTATGGATGTGAGGTATGGGGATTTTCAAACAGTGCAATTGTAGACAGAGTGAATATTAAATTTTGCAAATTACTCCTGAACCTAAAACAATCTACTCCTGATTGTATGGTATATAGTGAACTCGGTCGGCATCCTATGTCCATAGAAATAAAAACGCGTATTATTTACATATTGGTGTAAACTAAAACTTGGAAAAGAATAAAAAAAATTTCAAATCTACTGTTCAAATTACTATAAATTAAAAATTAAAATATTACAAAGATTGCTTGGATAAATAATGCGTCAAATATTCTTAACAATTGCGGACTTTCAAATATATGGGATAGTCAAACCTTTAATCCAAATTGGTTGAAATTGAGAGTAAAACTAACTTTACTTAATCAGTTTAAACAAAAATGGAATTCGGACGTTCAAAATTTATCAAAGACTTTAAACTATAGAATATACAAAGATGAACTAAAATTCGTAAAGTATTTAGACATTCTGTCCAGAAAAGATGCAATTAATTTTTGTAAATTTCGTACTTGTAATCATCATTTACCGATTGAAAGTGGACGTTGGCTAACTGAACCAAGAGAAACTAGATTATGTAAAAAATGTCATTTAAACGAAATAGGAGATGAATTCCACTATTAAATTGTACAACTATGATAGATGAAAGAAAAAAAATTATCGCAAAAGCAATTGCGGTTTAGAAATATAATTACATTTACAGAAATAATGAATTCTAAAAAAACAATCCTTTTTAAGAAAATTAAACTGTGTACATTTATTAGAAATATTAATAAAACGTGTTCCCCGATCTAGTGGAATACATAATTTTTCATTGTACTATTTGTCCATCTCCGTACTCACGCATGCTATAAAACCTGATTTGATTTGACACCATTGTTTAATATGTTTATCTCTGTATAAAATTGTAAAATTGTGATGAGATTAATAAATTCAGTTCAGGAAAATAATAAACTCTTATGAACCTTTTCAATAACCGTAAATAAGACAGATGGAATTAAAGCACCATTAAAAGCCTCCTGGCTTTTGTACAATGTAATTTAATATTAAATGATTATACATGATGAAAACAACAAAAAATATCTATGAAAATATATGGAACAGATTGGCCATTTGGTACCAAATTATTCAAAAGCATTAGAATAGCACTTTACGTCATATACTTATTCTTTAAAAGTATATAATCTATTAAAACTTTGTAACAATTGAAAAAAAAGAAAACAAATTAAACAAACAAGATTTAAATAAAAGAAGAAGGAAATATAACATGTCAGATGAAAAGGCTCTTGGGTTTACCCACATAAAATAATTTTATTACAAAAAATCAAACTTACATGGTAAAGAATATGATCATATCTAAACGTTCTCGAGATTAATTTTTTTTATCTTAGGGTGTACCTCTCAAGAATAGCGTAATTTTTATGAGAGGAGTAAGTTACTGTATTAATTTTTTCCCATGTATACATGCAACTATTCGCAGTGATACATGTATCACAGATTGTATAAAGATATAAATAATAAACGAATCACATTTTATACTGGAATGCTTTTAGGTACACACAATTACAGTATTAAAATAGAACAAGTAGATGATTATAATAAGTACAGACAAATTTAATATAACAAAAGAACAAGTAAACTTCACAATGGCATGATTATAAGTATTGTATTACAATATACCACTGGTCTACTATCAACAATGAAGAAAAGTATTATATATGTTCTATGAATAATAATGCTATAAACCGAATTATAATATAACAATAACAACATGAAATGTGTGATAACTTGTATCAACAATAAAGAAAAGTTTTAAATAAATTTGTTCTATGAATAACGCTATAAACTGAATTATATAATATGACAATATACCGTATATACTCGCCTTTAAGTCGGTTCCCTTACAAGTCTTTTTTATTTTTTCAGATTATTTTGGAGGAATTTGCCATTGACCCTATTAGAAGTCGCTGCGTTTTTTGCCGGAATCTGTACCCAATTTCAGATAAAAATTCTACAGTATTTACTTGTGTTCCAAAGTATATTTTGGGGTAGAACATTTATTTAATATTTTATCTTTTATTAACAGTTTATACAAATATAAGATCATTTGAATTTGTAAACACATATGTTATATGCATGATCTTCCTTTCCTGCATTAGATTAAGTTCCGATCTTTATAAACGATTATAGTTGGAGTTGTTACAATATTGCTATATTTCCTGTTCCAGAAAAATGCCAAACTTTTTAGGACTTACTTATAAGTCAGACATAGAATTTTGGATAAAAATTTAACTCCCAAAAATCCGACTTGCATGTAATGTATAGGCGAGTATATACAGTAATAACAACATGACGTGTGCTAACTTGTATTGCAAATTATACAAAACAGACTCGACGTGCAAATACTTTATAATTTATCTGTTGGAGTTTGCTGTTTGAATGATATTTATATATATTGCATGTAACATCAGCAGTACTTAAGGTCCCGTAAGTTAATTTGTTACCCTCAATTACACACAATACTAGTATCAACATGCAAATATAAAATCACATTCATACACTGTGTTAAGAAACACAATAAAACACCAAATATTTCAAATGCTTAAATGATGCCATAATAAAAACTATGATGTATTGCACATGTAAATATATTCCTCTTGTTACAATTTTCAGAATGATATCCACAGATATTATACATCATACACTGGAGTAACAGTTGGTATTTCTTTTTTAATTTATTGACCTATAAGATTCAAGTCTTCATAACATGAAAGTTTATTACTTTGTACTTTTTATATTATTATTTAATCAATATGTAATATACACAAAGTCAGAGAATTACATTATTTAACTGTATTGCTTGTAAAATTTCTCAATTTAGACGTGCTCCATGACCCAATTTCCGCAATTTTTAAATTTTCACTACGTTTGACATATATTATGACATATTTGAAATTTTAAACACAAATCATTTGAATTTATTGTTAAAAAATGTCTACCATATATGAAAATAGTACGATGTTAAGAAAAAAAAAAACTATGACAGAAGTCAGTAAACTTTCCAAACAACCCTCATTTATACATGTACATATATATTTTTACATAAAAAAAAACTTAGAATACCTACTTATTAATGCACTGAATAGTGCAAGATTTTCTTTTACAATAAATCTTTAATATACCTTAAAATATTTCCTTTAATATTTAATATCTCAGATTTTCCTTCTGATCACTTCTCTTTCTTTCTTTTTTTTTTTTTTTTTTTTTTTTTTTTTTTTTTTTTTTAAGTCTTTTCAAGAGATCTACTGGTATTCACATAATTAGGAGCCGAATCAAAAATACAATTGAATAGACAATTAAAAGAAAATAATACACATTATTTATTAATTTACTTGACTTTTCTGACTGCAATAAACATGTAAAATTTCTTGTTAATTTTGAGACTGATTTTTTCTGACATCTTACATTAGATGTCACATTGCAAAAGAAATTTACAAGAAGAACCAAAAAAATGCCAGTTATTACAAAGTGGCTGAGGAAATCAAGAACTTCTCTATCATCTCTCTCACCTGTTAAAATATATGAGATTAAAGAAGCACAATAGAACTTATTAGATGAGGTTAAACTATAATTTATGTAATCAAGTGCAACCAATTCTCTTATTCTTAAATGTATTGCCTCTAAACTAGATTTATTTGCCGGAATATCATACCAGCTATTAAGTTCAACTCCTTGTTTGAAATCAAAAAAAGTATTATCAAAATTTGAAAAATCAACTATGGCTTTCTCACAGAAGATATTAAATGGCCCAGTTATTGTGAGGTGAAGAACGGTCATGGATTGGTTGTTTGCCTCCAGTGTTAGAAAGTGATGATAATACTCATAAAATCCTAGTTGTCTTCTTCTTACTCGGAAGTGAGATCCAAAGCCTATTTGTCCATTTTGAATTAGTTTTCTTAGACTGTCCAAATTCTCTATTTGCATATTGTTCTGTAAAATAATATTCAGAGATCATAATCTTTCTTTATTCAAAGTTTATACTAACTATCATACATGTGTAAACCAGAGTAAAATCTCAACCTAACTTACCAAATTCAAATATAATACACGTTTTAAATGCTTTAATTTTCATGCATATTCAATTCTCTTTACAATATATGCTATAAACTTGTGTTCATTTTTGAAGGTGGAAGACTTCAAATGAGTGATGGGATTGATCGTACATATCTCCTCATGCTTGTACACTGCAGTAAGAAAATAGACCAACCATGCTTATATAAATCTAAATGCTTTGCATTGTCTTAAGACAAATGATATATAATATGGTGAATCAGATATATTTACATCCACTGAATATTGTCACCTCTCTTTCTCATGAAAACCAATTAACATTAATCAATGGACTAACTCTAAAGTAATTAGATTTGGCTTTTTAAAGCCATATACGATTTGGGTTATGTATTTGTCAGCAATGTTGCAACTGTTCATCCCTCTATTAACAAACCCCGGTTTTTTTGTTGTTTTTTTTTTTGCTACTTACATCTGGCTTTTTTCCCAAGTGTACCTCTGTTTCATTTTCAAAACTTTCTTCAGTATCAGAAAGTAACACATCATTGACATCTGCGAAGCAGAAACACACTTTTAATATCAAATGAGAATACGCTGATGAATTATTATTTGATATACATGTATTTTATTTTTTGCTTTCTATAGCTTTTACTCTTTTCACACCATATGCACAGAATAAAATATATGAATATCTGCGGAATGTATATCAAAAGAACAGCTTGAAATCTTACATTACCAAACCCACTTAAACACGCATAGTAGCTTTGATTATGAAATCTCTGGAGATAATTGTATTTTTTCTTAAAACTCCCATGAATACATCTGTACTTTGGTTCTCGACTGTAAGCATACTCACGTGATATGAAAACCTACTCTGTCTTGACATGCTTATCCCTCTATTGTACTAAGACCGACCCATTCTTTTCATCTTTATTCATAAAACGCAGTTTTATTTCTCAAATCGCAGTCAGGTAATCTGATATTTACTTATTTAATTGTAAATGATACTGAGACGTTTTGTTCCATTGGTGTGTTATGTACAATTAAGATATGTCAAGGATTTTTTGAGAAGTATATTCATGGGAGTTGAAAACCACAAGCAATCAATTAATTATCAAAATTCGGTTATGTAGTTTTAAGTAGATAATTATTATTTCATTATAATCAACAACTAACAAACCTATAGATTTATTATCTACCTGTAACAGGAAAGGAGAAAATGCATGGCTGGACCGGGAATCAAACCCGGGACCCCTGCATCACTAGTCAGGTGCTCTACCGACTGAGCTACCCAGGCCGATATCCACGGCCCAACCCATTACATACTTATATAAACGAAGCCAAAATTGCGATGATATGAATGACAAGTAGCGTCGACCACACGTGAAAAGAATGTATACCATGCAATACACGTACTAAAGATAGTTAAGTGTATTCATCTGGACTGGATGTAAACAGTGTACCCCTACCTGAAATTAAGTTATATATCTTACATATGATCTTATTTTCGGTAAAAGTCGTATTCCACAAAGGTGCATATATCAGAGTATATGCAAAAATTAGTGTAAAATTCGGATATTTATTTTTTGTCAATCTACCGACGGGCCGTTTGGCACATCATCCTTTGTTCTAAAAATATTACTTGACACATAATATTATTATATTAAATAACCCTTGCATATAATAATGAAAAAAAAAATCCCGAGAAAAAATATGCATGGATGTGAATTAGACAAAGTGTACATTTGAAGAATTTTCTTCTAAATATCCTTCCACCACAAGAAATAGTCCCTCATAAATTTTATATCTTTATCATTTTTGAACAGTTTTTAAATTAAATAATATTAATTTGCATTGTTTAATTCAAATATGTTATAAAGATGGCAATATAATTGATAATTTTGACATTACAGGTTCTGACCAAACTTCTTTCAAAAGCTGACAAGTGACAAACCTTTAAGTGAATGCACTTAAACAATCTACAGTACGTTTGCTCATTTTTATAAAAATCACGTTAGAGCTGTCTATATTACTCTAATAAATGATCATCACATACCAAAAACGATGGCATTTACCGTGTTCACGCATGAGTGCCCTAAGCAATCCCTGACCAACTTTACATTATAATACTAATGCATTAATTTTTGAAAACCTTATGATAATTTTAAATTCACTGTACTCAAACTGATTTTAAATTCCGCTCACAGTTTGGTGCTCTTTTACTGGGCTATAAGGCTAACATACTTTATATCCATTACAAGCGGCGTCCACTTTATTAACTGAGCAAGTTTGATGATTCTCTTGTACAGTGCAATAAATTGGCATAATTTGACAATAAAATTCCATAAGGAAGTAACATATGTTTGGTTAATGACACACCTTCCAAAAATGCATCAACCGAAAATGTTTGCTAGTTCTATGCCTCAGAGTTTGCATAAAAAAACTAAGAGATGGACAATTGGAAAACAACACACTACATGTAGTATCACTATAAGGATAGGTGAGGGATGAGCAAATAAAAAGGCCAAAAACCATCAGAAAAACAACTTTCACTTATCTTTTAAAATTCAAAAACTTTTAACTTTAATGAAAATATTTAAAAAATCTAAGGACCAAATCAAAGGCTGGCAGTAATTATGGCAGAAGTAAGTAACATCAATAACATGATCTTACTTTCTAGTGATTCCATCTTCCAACTTGTCTCTTCTGCCTCTAGGTCAATAAACAGATTCTCAAGTGGTCTTAGATTTTCCATTGTTCGTGTTTCAGTGGTTTGTGTTGTTCGACTGCTTGACCTTAAATCTTAAAGGAAAAAGGAGGGAAAATATGTTCTCATTTTAGATGGAATGTTCAATAAATGTTGAATACACAGTACATAATATTAACTTAATATATTACCAATCACAAATGATAATTTATATTAGTGTATTTACATTGGTGTGCCACTTACTATCTAGGATATTTTTGTATAAATCACTTCTCAAACTGCATAAAATATACTTTTCTACTTGGTAAACTTACACGTATGCCTTTCTCCTTGTAACAATGATACAATTATAAAAAGGTAACATTTTCCAATCAACAATAAAAAACATACCCCTTTCATTCTCCATAATTCTGTTTTCTGTCAATTGCAATTCAAGTTCATGCAAACTGTTCTTGATTCTCTTCTTCCGTTTTTTGTCTTCAAAGTCTATAACAAGAACTAAATCATTTTATAGAAAGTGTAATAATTTACATGCAATGCAATCTGTGCTACATAATGGAAACAAAAGCTGACATATGTATAACTATATACTATGAAATTGGCTTATTCTTTAATATTTTGTGTGATTTTGACAACCAACACAAGACTCACATTGGAATATTTTGAAGCCCTAATGTTTAGAATTAATTTGCACAAAAGATTTTAGTTGGGAGGTTTAGCAGACATATTTGTTATTTCCATGTAAAAAGGAGAAGAATCTTCTAAATGAGAAGATGTAACATTGAAAATACTGCTTCACATGTGACATTAAATTTTTCGGAGATCACCTGGCAAACTGAATACTTTATCAAGTCCATCTTTGCTAGCCAGATGTTCTACTCTCAAACCAGAAGCCTATCGTACTACAAAAGTTGGGAATTTATTCCGTGGTGTGGTTGGACTCAACTGATATCACTTGACCATGTAGTCAATCAGCAAATATATTGCAAAGCTTTAGTCATTCATAATATCTCCACGTGGAATGTGGTCCAACATGGTATGAAAAGCTCACATAAACAATGATCTGTTAGGTATCAGAATGCTCATTCTATAAACAGTATCTTACCTTAAGTTGATATAGATATAATGTGATCTCGTGTATACTATAGAATCACTATCATTCCTTGGGGGAGGGGGGGGGGGGGGCGGTGTCAAAGTTTGTTGGTAACCAAATTTTAATTGTTCGTGGAGACGTAATTTCATGGGTAACTTGTATGTTTTAATAAGATAGATTGATAGCTCTTCTGTGCTCAGTGTATGTGTGTGTCAATGTTTGTAGGGATGTAAATTCTGGGGTGTGGGTTACCCATGAAATCCACGCACATCAATCCCCCACAAACACTGGTAATTCCACAGTACATTGCCGATTGACTTAGACCTTAATATCAAATAATCATTCCTCGATTCCTTTTGTTGAATATTCTGTAAATGTTTCAATTTTAAAGTTCTCTTATTTTTGTCAATGATGAGACCTATGCATATAGAGATCATGACTTTTACAAGGCACAATAGGCTCCTCTTCTGAGAACAGAAGAGTATATATTTACGAAACACTTGCCATACAATGATACTTCATTGAAAATCAAACAGGTATCATATTTACCTTTCTCCACCTCACTCATTTTGACATTTTCCATAACTGAAAAATTAAAAAAAATCTAATTCATTGAGAGGAAAACAATCATATCTTATTTTTCATTCACTATGAGATTATTACATAGATTCAAATGATTATTGAAAGGCATTATATCACACATTTGAATATTTAATCAACACATTAAGAACTTATGAGTTAGGCGTTACTTTGTGCACTTAGGCTACATGGAAATATCTATTAGATTGTATTTTTTTCTTAATTTTATGCTTCAATTTCTATATTTTGCTTTATAAGAATTTACTCACCACTGCAGAGGTTGTCAACAGTATCATCAAATAGGGGGTCATTTCTTTGATGAGAGATGTGAATGTCCTCCATAGGGTAGTCTTTACTACAATCAGAGATTTTGTCGATGGTGTCTTCCTCCATTGGGGTGTCTTTCATTTCAGATAATTCATCTTCATGAATAACTTTATTACCATCAGATTTGGTACACCAGCTTTTCTCTTTTCCAAATTAGAAATGCCATGTTTATCTATAAATATTGATTCAGAGGTACATTGTACATGTGCAAATGAATGTCACCTTCCAATAGCATCTTATGTACAAATTGTTTCAATTATAAGAACTAACTAATATGTACATGATGTAACCAAATTATTATAATACATTCAAAAAGAAAAGAAAAATAAGTGCTCTAGCTCTAAATCTTGTGAGATGTATAAATTTCATTGTTGTAAAAAGAAATCACTCTTAAAGATATCAAGAGGCCCAAGGGCCTTAACAGTCACCTGAGTATAATACAACACTGTAAATGATCCAAGGAATGGTAATTTATAATAATTAAATAACACAAAATAAACTGAAACTCAAAATACAAGAAATATAGGATGATCAGGTGTCAACAAAATACTTTATCTGATAATCAGCAACAACTCAAAAACTTGCCTGTACAATGTATATGCCAGTGCTATCTATACACCATCACTATCCCTGTACATAACAAGTGCTTTCACATACAACCCAGTATTCACGGCATACACCCTGGTCATTAGCCTCTCTTGGTCTTTATATAATAGTTCATGTACATATGTAAGCAGGGTTTTTAAAAAGATTAGAAACAGATGGTACTTTTACCAAAATCAAAGTTCTGAAAGTACTGAATCACCGATGCACCGTGACAGACAAAAACAGATAGCAATAGGTCACCTAAGTGACTCGGGTGACTCGGGTGAATTAATAAAGGATATTTCTATAATTTTCTCAGGGTTTTGAATGGAAAGCACTTCATACATGTACTTCAAGGATGGTTCTGAATCATCTTTTCTTTCTTTTTATTGTCCCCTCCCCCCTACTTCACTTCATACTCCTAATTTATTTTAAATTTAACCTCGTAACTATTTCTCATAACATTTAGAAAATGAACTGCGATATAAATAAGAGGCCCATAGACCACAATGCTCACCAGAGTCACCTTGGCCCCCTGTTCTTTATTACATGTTTTAGAAAAAATCAAAATATTTTCCATCTTTATACACATGAAAAATTCTTACCTGAACTTGTTGCCCCACCTTAACCCAAAAGGGTCATGCAATGCTATTTTTTGAAAAGTTTTTTTTTCTAAAATTAAATTCCTCTTGAATTCCTTTTAAAATGTTGATCCCCTATTGTGGCCCAAACTTACCCCCGAGGCCATGATTTGAACAAACTTGAATATGCACTTCTAGTGTATATTGCATACTGAGAAATCATTAATTTTCAAGGGGTTTTATTTTCGTTGTTTTCGTGGTATACAGAGACAAATTAATTCTTGTCCTCCATGAAATGTTTAATGCCTACCAACTCCACGAACCAATTTTTTTCCTCAAACCTTGAAAATTTGACCCCTTGAAAATAAGTGATTTTACTGCATTATTATTCCTAATCATAACCTTGCTGTTCTTGGAGAGAAGATTTTTAATTATTTTTCCTAGATATATTCTCATGTAAAACTTTAACCCTACTGTGGCCCTACCCTACATCAGGGGCCATGACGTGAACAAACTTCAATCTGTTCTATCTGACTGATTACAGATTAATGTAACTTATCAAGGCCATGTTGCTCTTGAAAACAAGATTTTTAAACATTTTTCCTATATATTTCGATGCAAAACTTTGATCCACATTGTGGTCCCAACCTACCCCCAGGGAGGGACCATGGTTTGAACAAACTTATATCTGTACTACCTGAAGTTGATTGCACCTTTTATGACTAATCATGGCCCTGCTGTTGTTAAGAAGATTTTAAAAGTTAACGTTTTTTCCTATATATTCAAGTGTAAAACTTTGATCGCCTATTGTGGCCCTACTTTACCCCTGGGGCTATGATCTGAATAAATTGAATCTACACTATGTCAGAAAGCTTTCACATGTTTCATCTTTTCTGAATTTTTTTTAAATAACCTTATCAAATTTTCACTATTTCTTAATCATCTTCCATTGAAAGAGGCATGGTCCTTCATTTGAACAAACTTGAATTACCTTTACACAAGGATGCTTTGTGGCAAATTTGTTTGCAATTGGTCAGTGGTTCTACAGAAGATGTAATTGTGAAAAGTTTACAACAATGAAGACGCTCCATAAGACAATGCACAAATTTTGATCAGAAAAGCTCACTTGAGTCTTTGGCTCAGGTGAGCTAAAAATAACTCTTACGTGATGACTCAATTTCCTCTTGGTCCTGACTGGAAAACAAATCATATTTACAGGATGGTTCTGAAACACCTTCTTCAGAGCAATCTGTGAAGAAACCAATCATTCATTTAATTATACTGTATACCGTATATACTCACCTATAAGTCGGTTCGCCTATTAATTGACTGTATATTTTTATGGGTAATTTTAGAGGAATTTGCCACTGACCCGCTTATAAGTTGGTACTGTTTTTTGCCAGAAAGTGTTCCAATTTCAGATCAATATTTATTGTATTTACCTGCATTTCAGAGTATGTTTTGGGTATGATATCGATATTTGATCTTTTATTCATGTTTATTTATTAACAATTTATCCATAAATAAGATCATTAAAATTTGTGAAGACTTGCATGTAATGCATTTTATAGCTTTAGATCTACCTTTCCAACATGTCCCCACAATTGTCAATGATAATCATCAGAGATTACATAAATACCATAGTTCGTCTTCAAGAAAAATGCTGATGTTTCCGTGACTTGCTTATAAGTCAGACATAGAGTTTTGGACCAAAATTTACTTCCCAAAAATCACATAGGCGACTACAGTGGAGCCTCATTTATCCAGACTCTTTGGTTCCCAGTCAAAATCGTCCGGATAGGTGAAGCGTCCGCATACCTGAATTGCCTAGATTTTAGTAATATGGTCTTCCATACCATTGGCAATAGTGAGGAATGCTGCTTTATATCAATAGTTTAAAAACTTTAATATACGTACCACTCAATAACACTTGTTTAAATAAAATAAAAAAGTACATTGTCATTGGATGAAACATTGTTTATATGGCCATATTAATTATTTCTGCTTCCCAGTTTCTAATGAATGAACTTTCCCTAGCCAACTGTCTGTAGAGCTGGTAGAGAAACAAACTGTTGGTACAGTCTTATTTCACTACGAACGCTCATCCATGCTAAATGTGACATTAACTGCACATGTATATATATGTGCGCTAATCATCCCAAACGAGATCGCATTAGCGATTGCGTAATTTTGAATGTGATTTTATAAATGTCATCAAATTACAGAATCCGTTTTGTGTATAAAATACTGTGCATAAAAAAAACTCTGATGTCATGTCTAAGAAGCAATACATAAAACCAATGTTACGACTGTATTCTAACAGTAAGCATGGTAAGTGAAATACATTAATTTTGCCGACTATGAAAAAATTATTGACATATAAAATTATTTTCCTTAATCAAAACGTCAGTGAAGCGAGAGTCTCGTGCATAACCTATCGACCTATAATCAACCTTGCTGCAAGTCATTGATAACAGGTCACAGGTGATCATCTTTAAAAAACGTCAAACAGCCCGGGTGTTTTTACAACAATTAACACCCAGCTCAAGAAATTTGGGCAGAGTTGATAGACCAATTAAAAAATTACCGTCCGGGACCAAAATATAATGTAAAAATGCATTTTGTGGTGAAAAAAACAGAAACGGAACGTGGAATTCCAGATAAACGAGACAAAAAGAGGTTAAAAAAATTCCTTTCCCATGAAAAATCGTCCGGAAGCTGAGGCGTCCGGATATCTGAGGGTCCACTGTATATACGGTATATAAACATATATGCATCATGATGAATGATTTCAAAAACTTTCGTCTCTAGATAAGACTTAAAGCCAACAGCCAAAATGAAGAATCTCCTCATAACACTGCTAATTTAAATACTACAATTAGAAACATTCCTGAGTATATGCCAGAAAAGATATGCATGACAAAGCTGTGATATGATAAAATTCCCTCCAATTTCATTACATGAGGAAGGTATCAAAATAAGCAAGGTACATATATTACCATTTATGATGTCAAAATGACCCTGTTGTAGCCGCAAATGAAGCCATCTTTGAGAATTTAGTCCACTAGGGAGGCTTTGTTCTGATCTCGCTCTTACAACCTGTAATACCTCTTCATGGCTGCCATAAGATGTCACATAAATGGTAATCCCATATAAGTCAGCCGCAGCCTGAACTATGGGCTCTTCTGCCCATACATGATCTCCCCTATGACTGCTGTTAAGAGATAATGATATTTGGCACCAGTCACCTAAGCAAGTGTTTAAAGTGGTGAAATTTTGTGAACTGTAACTTTGAATACATCATTTAATATCTTAAAGCAGAAGAAGCATCTGTTTACTATTCATTTAAGAAGATTATATTTCTCCAGAATGGGCAATTCCAATTTTGTGAATGCTTATATTATAAATGTACATTAATATCCACTTAAGCATCTGTGCATTTTTTTTAATTGTTTACAGCTCATTTGTAGATATTTTATACATGTTATTAAGGAAATTGATGCATAAATAGCAAAAAAAAAAAAAAAAAAAAAAAAAAAAAAAAAAAAAAAACAATTTCCTTAACAGAGAGTCAAATTTAGGAAAATGTATTTATAAATATTCCATAGATCAAAGCAAGAGATGAAGCTTAGCTGAGAGACTTTTTTTCAAAATTATCTCAAAATAGATAGATATGACCTAAATAATTTAACAATTAATTTTTATGGTTGCCAGTGTAACACAGTGTAACAAAGCAAAATATGTTGCAAAGACTGGGTTAATGCTACTATCTACTTGAGATAGTACGCTATGCTACTTGAGGAAAAGCATGAATATTCAAGACTGCCATAAAATCATCCTAAGGAGCTTGCAACACCAACAACATAAGAAAAAAATGGGATTAATTGCTACTTTGCATTTTAACCAAGGAAACAGCGTACCAATGATTTAAAGTGATATTATATAATATATATATTTTTGTTCGCTATCATACTTTAAACAGTTGACATACTTTA